CAATTTTTCGCCCGTAAATAAAAATTGTCGAGATATTACCATGGTCCATAATACCTTCCGGGAGTTCAATTGAATGGGTGGAACCATCCAATTTGCCTTAAAATGGTCAATTACCTGTTCAAAACTTGCACTAATTTCATGAACTCAAGCCCACCACGTTCATTTTTGACAACATATAATGACCATATATGATTCCAAACGTCATTATATGACCATTACATGTATGCCCTAGAGTCTAATTACTTTTCGCCTTCAATTTTGGAATTTTTAGACCATTATTTTGCCCGAAATTAAAAATTGCTGAGATGTTACCATGATCCCATATACCCTATGGAAGTCCAATTGGGTGGGTGGAACCATCCAATTTGCCTTAAATCGGTCAATTAACCTGTTCTAAACTTGCACTAATTTCGTGAACTCAAGCATACCATGTACATTTTTGACGACATATTATGACCATATATGATTCCAAACGTCATTATATGACCCTTATATGTATGCCCTAGGGTCTTAAAACTTTTCGACACCGGACCCAGTAACATCAAAAATTTCTCAAAAAACGTGGATAATAGCCTTCAATTTGGATTTTTTTTACCATTTTTTCGCCCGGAATTAGAAATTGATGAGATGTTACCATGGTCCCAAATACCCTCCGGGAGTCCAATTGGTTGGGTGGAACCATCCAATTTGCCTTAAATCGGTCAATTTACCTGTTAAAAAATTGTACTAATTTCGCGTACTCAACCCTACCACAGACATTTTTGACAACATATAATGGCCATATATGATTTCATACGTCATTATATGACCCTTACATGTATTCCCTAGAGTCTCAAGACTTTTCGCCATCGGAACCTGTAACATTAAAAATTCCTCAAAAAACGTTGATAATAGCCTTCAATTTTGGAATTTTTGGACTATTTTTTCGCCTGGAAATAAAAATTGACGAGATGTTTACCATGGTCCCTAATACCCTCTAGGAGTCCAATTAGGTGGAATGTACCATCCAATTTGCCTTAAAACGGTCAATTTACCTGTTCAAAACATTTGCTCTAATTTCGTGAACTCAAGCCTACCACTGACATTTTTGACAACATATAATGGCCATATATGATTCCAAACGTCATTATATGACCCTTACATGTATTCCCTAGAGTCTCCAAGACTTTTCGCCACCGGAACCTGTAACATTAAAATTCCTCGAAAAACGTGGATAATACTCATAATAGCCTTCAATTTTGGAATTTTTGGCCATTTTTTCGCTCGGGAAAAAAAATTGCCGAGATGTTTACCATTGTCCCTAATACCCTCCAGGAGTCCAATTCGGTGAAATGTACCATCCAATTTTCCTTAAAACGATCAATTTACCTGTTCAAAACATTTGCACTAATTTCGTGAACTCAAGCCTACCACTGACATTTTATACAACATATAATGGTCATATATGATTCAAAACGTCATTATATGACCCTTACATGTATGCCCTAGGGTCTCAAGACTTTTCGTCGCCGAATCCCCTAACAAAAAAAATTCCTCAAAAAGCGTGGATAATGGCTTTTAATTTTGGAATTTTTTGACCTTTTTTCGCCATGAAAAAAAACTGTCGAGATGTTACCATGGTCCTTAATACCCTTCAGGATTCCAATTGGGTGGGTGGAACCATCCAATTTGCCTTAAAACAGTCAATTTTCTCGTTTTCTTACACACCTCTTGTATTGGCTATAAGCTTTCACAGGGCTTGTACGTAGCCGGATAATGGTCATATATGGGTCAAAACAACATTATATGACCACGGGGTGCATCCTGTAATATTCCGTGAAATTCTGACACCGGGTCTCGACAACTCCTAAATCGCTCTGATTTCGTGTATTATATCCTTCATATTTTGCTTCTATATATCATTTTTTCACCCGTTTAGATTATAAATCGAAGTACTTCCAAGGGTTCCCAAAGGGCTTTGGGAGTCATAAATAGTGCCTGGAACCATCTAATTCATCATGTCTTAAGGGTCTTGGGAGTGGTAAATAGTGCTCAGAACCCGGTATGCCTTGTCCTTAGGGGCACATGTCTTGTGCACATGCCACACGACCCTTGTACCATCCAACATCCCACCACTTAGGCTTTGTGACTTGTCTAAATCTTGTACTTAGCATTTTTTTGCATACGAGATGCATCGCTAACCTCGTTTTCCAAAATATATGTGTTTTTAGGTAATACAGTGGGGAGGAGGGACGAATCGAAGCGACATAGGGCTGAATTTCAGTGGATCGTGGCGGCAAGGCCACTCTACCACTTACAATACCCCGTCGCGTATTTAAGTCGTTTGCAAAAAATTCAACCCGCCGCTCGGTAGAAATTGTACTTCAAGGCGGCTCTCACGCTGCATCCACCGCGCTAGCTTAGCCTACGACACGTACCCTTGGGAGCCGAAACCCCTATTGTAGGACGACAATCGAGCGGAGGGCGCATGCGTCGCTTTTGGCCCGGATTCTGACTTAGAGGCGTTTAGTCATAATCCAGCACGCGGTAGCTTCACGCCACAAGCTTTTCAACCAGGCGCGATGACCAATTGTGTGAATCAACGGTTCCTCTCGTTCTAGACTGAATTACCATTGAGACACTGTCATCAATAGGGTAAAACTAACATGTCTCGTGACGGTCTAAACCCAACTCACGTTCTCTATTGGTGGGTGAACAATCCAACACTTGGTGAATTCTGATTCACAATGATAGGAAGAGTCGACATTGAAGGATAAAAAAGCAACGTTGTTATGAACGCTTGGCTGCCACAAGCTAGTTATCGATGTGGTAACTTTTCTGACACCTCTAGCTTTAAATTCTAAAGGACTAAATTAAGGATTGTTAGGCCACGCTTTCACGGTTTGTATTCGTACTGAAAATCAGAATCAAACGAGCTTTTACCCTTCTGTTCCACACGAGATTTATGTTCTCGTTGAGCTCATTTTAGGACACCTGAGTTATCTTTTAACAGATGTGCCGCCCCAGCCAAACTCCCTACCTACCAATGTCCTCCGCTCGGATCGGCCCGCAAAGTGGACCTTAGGTATAAAAGGAGGGGCATTGCCCAGCTTCCGACTCACAGAGTAAGTAAAATAACGTTAAAAGTAGTGGTATTTCACTTGCGCCGAACCTCCCACTTATCCTACACCTCTCAAGTCATTTCACAAAGTCGGACTAGAGTCAAGCTCAGCAAAGTTTTCTTTCCCCGCTGATTCTGCCAAGCTCGTTCCCTTGGTTGTGGTTTCGCCGGATAGTAGGCAGGGACAGTGGGAATCTCGTTAATCCATTCATGCGTCACTAATTAGATGACAAGTCATTTGGCTACTTTAAGATAGTCATAGTTACTCCTGTTGTTTACCCGCGCTTGGTTGAATTTCTTCACTTTGACATTAAGAGCACTGGGCAGAAACCACATTGCGTTAACATCCGCAGGGACCATCGCAATGCTTTGTTCTAATTAAACAGTCGGATTCCCCTTATCTGTACCAGTTCTGAGTTAACTGCTCAACGCCCGGGGAAGGCCCCCAAAGGGATCGTTCCCAGTCCGTCCCCCGGCCGGCACGCGGCGATCCACACGCACCACGGAAGCAGCTCGAGCAGTCCACCGACAGCCGACGAGTTCGGGACTTGGACCCTCGTGCCCAGCCCTCAGAGCCAATACTTTTCCCGAAGTTACGGATCCATTTTGCCGAATACCCTTGTCTACATTCTTCCATCGACCAAAGGTTGTTCACCTAGGAGAGTTGATGCGATTATGAGAACGATCGGGCCTGGTCGACATTCGGTCTCGGATTTTCAAGGGCCGCCGAGGGCGCACCAGACACCACAAAACGTGCTGTGCTCTTCCAGCCGGTGGACCCTACCTCCGACTGGCCGCAGACTGTTAACATAAAAGATAACTCTTCTTGAGGCCCCCGCCGACGTCTTCGGACTTCCCAACGTTACCGTCAACTGCCACGTCCCGATTCAGAAATTTTAACCTGATTCCTTTTCGAAGCTTGCGCAAAACGCGCTATCAGACATGCTTCCCCCATCTCTTAGGATTGAATAACCCATATGTAAGTGTCGTTTACATGGAACCTTTTCCCTCTTCGGCCTTCAAAGTTCTCATTTGAATATTTGCTATTACCACCAAAATCTGCACCTTCGGCCGCTCCGCCCTGGCTCACGCCATAGGTTTTGTAGCGACCGTTGCGCCCTCCTATTCATCGGGGCCTAGCACTTGCCCTGACGGCCGGGTATTGGTCACGTGCCCCAGCGCCATCCATTTTCGGGGCTAGTTGATTCGGCAGGTGAGTTGTTACACACACCTTAGCAGATTTCGACTTCCATGACCACCGTCCTGCTGTCTTAATCGACCAACACCCTTTGTAGGATCTAGGTTAACGCATAGTTGGGCACCGTAACCCGGCTTCCAGTTCATCCCGCATCGCCAGTTCTGCTTACCAAAAATGGCCCATTTAGAGCTCTCGATTCCATGGCACGGCTCAACAAAGCAGCTACGTCATCCTACCTATTTAAAGTTTGAGAATAGGTCGAGGGCGTTGCTCCCCCGAGGCCTCTAATCATTGGCTTTACCTGATAGAACTCGCTAATGAGCTCCAACTATCCTGAGGGAGACTTCGGAGGGAACCAGCTACTAGACTGTTCGATTAGTCTTTCGCCCCTATACCCAAGTCAGACGAACGATTTGCACATCAGTATCGCTTCAGACCTCCACCAGAGTTTCCTCTTGCTTCGCTCCGCTCAGGCATAGTTCACCATATTTCGTGTCTCGACAAGTATGCTCTCACTCGAACCCTTCGGGTGCACCCGCTAGGGGATCCCGTACCATAGAATAGAATATAGTTGAATACTATCAAATAACATTACAACATTACAATGTTCTAGGACGATTGTAAGTTTTTTTATGTTCTATTTAAAAGACAAATTATTTTGGAATATTCTATATTGAACTTTTTCATATGCTCAAGCAAGCACAATTGTGTAGAGATTTTAAAGTATTAGGAAGAAATTTCATAATTATTCAACAAATACCATAACATGCATTTACAATGACATGAGAACTCCCCTAAAATTACACAAGTTCAAAACAAGTACTCCATAGCACAATTTACTACCGACTACCAAATGGACCACAAGATTCATCCAACTTGACTTGAACCCGATAATAAGAATAAATGAAAAACTCTGAGGACTGAGTCTAAAACAAGATACTCTGTGATACGTAAAACAAGATACTCAATGTAGTTGCAAAGCTACTATAAGCTAGTGCAATGAAACTACTTTCGAGAACGTGCAAACACATGATGGTAAAGTAGAGGAAGTACACAAAACCAGATATGATGCTGAAGAAGTGAAGATGCTAAGCACTCCAAATATCAGGGAAAGTTAGCAACTCCTCAACAATACATCAGCAAATCATGGTCACATGACAAGTGATTCATTCTACTTTATTGTCAACTTGAATTCACCTGCAGCTCCTATAAGTGGTAAAATCAGCCAACAGAAAGTAAAAAAATCACAAGAATATTAAAAAACAAACAAATAAATAAATATTGAACTTTGATGACTAATAAAACACTCCCGCCACCTCAACAAACATAATATATGTTTCTCTATACACAAATTGACGGTTCATATTATTTTACACGTTCAACCAACAAATTACAGAGTAATTTATTCTATGAAGCAGGCTCTCAAGGATCCATGTGAACTTCCAAAATTGTACTTGTAAAACGCAAGTTGCTAGCTTTACAGAATATCCGACAGTACAGAAGCATATAGCATTTCAACCGAATAAACAAAAGATCAGGACAAAATTCGACTCTATATTTGTGCTTAACAGAGAAATTATACCTTTTACCATATGGGCAGTTTTTGCGGCTGGAAACAGCAGCCAGTTTAACGCCAAAGTCGACTCTTAATTTAAGCTACTTTGTGCAACCTCAGACATTTTTTAGTTGGAAAGCTGGAAGCCTGACAAGAAAGTTTGTTCAGCTGTCTAAAGGCCCCAAGAGTATATCATCAGTCCCAGTACCGTGATACATGCAACACCGTCGTCTCCCCATTCTGCATAAATTCAAAAGCTTTCAGATTGTCATGATGTCATCTAAATTTTCAAACAGCACAAGTATATGCATCAATAGTGAAATGAAGAATGGCTTCATTTTATCTTAACGAGATGTGAGCCAGAGCATAAATAATAGAGCACACAAATTTTACTTTGCACTTCATAGTAAATAATGTAGTAATTACAAGACTTACAAAGACCTTTCATATATACCAAAACATTAACAATCTACTTCAGTTAATCTGAAAACAAATTATCAAATCTCAAATGATAGTACCCTCTTCCACTTAAACTTCACCTTGTCTGTACCAACTCGCCCAGGTAGTAATGTAGTAGTGTAGTACTAGTAATGAGTGTGTGGAATCAAGGCATCATGCTTACTAAAGGGAACGTTTCTAAAGAGTTGAGAATCTAGGCAGGCAGCTGGCAGGGGTCAAAATAAGGTGGCTCCAAGTCTGGCATACCGACAGATTTCATTCCCCAGGGGAAGGTTCACCATATCAACCAAAGACCCCTGACAATATACATCTTTCAAGTTAACCAAAGACCCATACAATTAAGAAGTTAGTAGTCACCAAATCGGTATCTATTCCTCAAGTAATACTGCATAGGTACTCTGAAGGACAAACCGTAGTGTATGGGTATTGTATTACAAATTGTCAGTATGGAATTAAAAGAGTCGGTTAAGGCACTAGATAACATGAAACGGAAGGAGTAAAAAAACAAGAATCTAATTTACCATATCACCTCCCAAATTGTCATTCCCACTAACCCTACAAGCTAACTACTATTGACTTTTCCATCAAACGATTCTTCCCATATTGCTTTTCCTCATCGTAGAGGACATAGACAAGGCGATACTTATTTGGAACAAGAGAATGAATTACCTATATCTTGGCACCTGCAATGAAGCTGCCTCAAAGCAGTCACTGAGTCACATGGGCACAACACATAACTTGGAATTCCAAAGTTGTTTACATTTATTTAGTGGAAGTCCCAACAACTTCATATGCAATCCTTACCCCCAAACAGAACAAACCAATAGTTTTTCCGGATTAGAAAGGTAATTGTTTAGCTTATTCGTTCCAAACAGCTAGGAAGTAAAAGTAAATATCATAGTGAAAGTTATGAAGTCATAGCATTGTGACTCTTCAAAATTTGTTTAAAGTGGACGAGAATGACAATATTCATTATATATACAATTAAGTATGTAACATCACATGTATTAATAGCTACTAGCTAGAGTCAAGCATTGAACAAAGTGCATCACGCATGCATTAATCAAATCCTGGCCCCCACCCCTATAACCACTCAAACATATACAATATGTACGTAAAGGAATCTCCAAGGTGGCTGGAACTGGTATGATGGTCTCAACTCTCAAGGGTTTGTGTACTATAAATATGACTAGAAGTTGAGAGGTAAGTGCACCTTGCCCTGCTTACTTAGACACTAAAGAACCTAAAACTTCCTCTCTTTTTTCCTCCCTCACTTCAAGCTTTGAATAGGATGCAATAAGTTGATAATTGCTTGGTTCATTCTGGCAATGCTTTTACACCAAAATATTCAGTTTGTCCAAGGCAGGCAACTGAGATTTGGGAATACCAAAGATTTCCAAAAGCTTCATATTCACCAAGAAACAAAGGAAACCATAAAAAACCACATAAACATGCATGATGACAAACCAGATAAAGAAACAAATGCTTAAGAGCTCCAATATACAGCTCCAGTTCAGGTCACTGATGAATCTCAGTTACCACCAGGTCCACCGCCATCCCCTGGCCACTTAGATGATTTTAGACCCACAGCCCCAGGTCGCAGCCCCGGTGCTGGACATTCACTTCACAACTAGGTCATTTATATGCCAGAATAATTGTATACCTCTAACATGCATTTGATCAAATTATGAAGTCAGTTCTTATATTCTATGTACACCCATCTGCGTTTATTTTATGCAATACTTTATGTCAAGATACTATGCATGCATGCAGTATGGGACTCAATCCATTTTCCAAGTCTATTTCCTTATCTGCCAATATCTCCAGCTCCGGGTAACCATAAGACTTGACAGATTCAGCTAAAACACAAAGTCTAATTGCATATCATTGTACTAGATATCATCCACTTCTAAAAATATATTTAAAAAAAAAAGGTGTGAATAGACCCAAAAGTTCTATAATTACTCACCATTATATATTTTCCGAACACACCTAAAATGCGAGTAGATGAGTTAGCATTAAAAAATTTCTGAATATCACCATTAGAAAATTTCTACACTCCTTCAATGCTCATATACTTGACCACGATAGAGAGAGATATTACTAATCTGAGTCTTTTTTTTGTTGAATAAATTAGTTTATGATAAACTTGTTTCACTAAAGATTACCAAAAATAACTTCAATCTACATCACAAATATAATTTAGAAAAAAATTTAATGACAACACAGCTACGATTTACCCCTCTAGAGCTCACTTCATCAGGTTCCTGAATTAAATGATTTCTTTCCTTTTTTTTACATTGAACAGGTCATTTAAGCCAAACCACAAGTAATTAACTACAAATTTGCAGAACAAATGGAGCACTAATTACGCATAGTAAAAGAACACAATCTATTAAATTACTTTAGTTTGAAGTTTGAAACTTCAAGGAAACCATGGTTTTTCAAAAAAAAAAAAAAAAAAAAAAAAAAAAAAAAGCCCCAGAAAACTTTTACCGCAAATTGTATCCAGGCTTTGAACAGTGCAATAGTATTTCACTGGGTGGAAGAACAGATCGCATAAAAGCAGGCTTTGCAGGTGAACAACTATGTCAAGTTGACTGCACTCCTACGCCAATAACATGAAGTAATAATAAGCTCCTTACTTACCTCAACTACATAGAGAAAGTAAAAGACAATTTCCTACACGCCAGAGAAAAACTAAGGCTGAGTACATAACCTGTGAGGTTGTGATACCTTCACAAGTATCCGCCTACTTCTAAAGGTCAAAGACCCAAAGAAAACAAGCTCAATATTTGCTCCATAATTATACCGTACATAATATTGAAAAGATCCCAGATGATTAAGCCTAGCATTCCAATTACAATATCATTTCTCTATTAGGACATAAGCTAGAGGCCTGGCTTATCATGCAACGCCTTCTCGGCTTTTTAGTTTTTAAAAGTTACTACTGGCTTAAATTGCAAAGTTAACAATTTATTCATGCGTTATTGACTATACTATTTAGGCTTGGATATGCCGGTATGGTACATATCCTATGCAATATGCTCAAATGGATATGCTCTAGTCATCATGTATTCATGTTCCCCCCCCCCCCCCCCCCAAACAAAACAAACCAGGAAAAACTAAGCATCAACTAAGCATGTTCATAACGCCTAAATATTGTTGAAATACATCTAAAGGACAATCACACATCCCAGATTTTAGACTTTCATCTCTCTTAGTCTCACTCACAAGTGTATCATTTATTTCTCTGGGGAAAAGCTCAATGAGAATCCTTCCATTGTTTAGTGGATGGGCAAATTTGGGAAACCTTATATCCTCGCAAGGTCTTACAAAACTGTTGCAAGATTTTGCTTTTAACATTTATAATCCCTTCTTTGCCTTGTTTTGAATGTAATTAGAGTACTTATGGTGCCATTCATAACGTTAGAGAATTTTGTACAATATAATCACTAAACCTTTGATTACTTAATTTCAATTATGGTCCATCTAAATTCTGGGAAGTTTGTAAGATACTATTTTTTATTTTTTAAACATAAGTTGAAACATTGAAAGGATCAATCAAGAGATAGCAGGCTTAGCAGCAATGGCCTTGATTATTGAGTTAACAAAGTTGGAAGTCATATAATGTTCAACTACTTTAAGGAATAATTGTAATTAGGAAACCCCCCCCCCCCTTTTTTTTAGTTGTGTGCTGATGTTTAAGTTTTTAGATTTTGAATGTTGAAATGTCAATTATGTCACAAAGAGATATACTCTCTTGAGACCCTCCTTAAAAGTTTGACTCACTTATTATACAGCTATACACCCTTATTCTACATGAATATACAAAGTGAGAGTAAGAAAAAGAAGGATTAAGTAAAAGAGATGGAGTGGGTGAGTGTATAAAAATATCTCCCTCCGTTTTAAATAAATGTCTCATTTTGACTTTTTGCACTTCTCACATGATCCACTTTGACCAATGTTATTGATTTATACATGAAAAACATATAGTCATGTGGATATTAGTTATAATCGTCTCAATGTATAGTACAGTAGATACTTGTTAACAAGTCTTTACAGCAAATTATTGACATTTAAAATAGCCCAATCTCGCAGTCTAGAGTCTGGACAATCTCAACGCAAAGAAGAGGTCATAAGCAAAATAAGCAAAGAATCCTTCCTAGCCAATGCCATCTTTTTTGCTAAATTTGTCCTCAGAAGATAATTCTTCTAGTATCATAACACTCCCTCTCTCGTATTCAATATGGTACAATTCAAATTAAACGTCTAAGGGAACATGTATCTCCCTATAAACTCAATATATACTGCATTTACAGCTAAATACTTCCGTTATCTTTCACCAATTACCTAAACCTTTGCTGACAATTAACCAAGGAAAACATTTTTATCACAACAATGACATCGGCCCCTATTCTAAAGGGTCTTTTCAATCAGAGGAAAATATAGTACAACAGAACCATCTTCAAATAACATTTACAGCAGAAATAATAGTGCATTAAAGATTTGTTATGAGTTTGTAAGATGCAACACATAGGCAGCTTTTTTTACCTTACAGCAGCAGCTGATACGATGTTGTGAATACTGACAACTTACTGAATCCCCATTTACTACTTTGGCATGAGTGGATCTGGTGAAGCATTCAAAATGCTTTGTAAATTTACTTGCTGTAAATTCCTGAAAACAAAGAGAAAGCTCATCTTACAAGAAAAACCTTTCCAAAAAATCAGGCATAGCTTATAAGGATGTATTTTGAACAGTTTGGTAGATTCAAGACAAAATAAAGCTTCACCACGCTTCCTTATCATGCAATAAATAGATGTATCATTGACTTCCTGATTTACTAATTTGTATTTTCCCCTCTTCAGAATTCATACAATCATTAAAAATAAATAATGGCAGTTATTCACATGGGCTATATGCATTTACCGCCAGAGTTTAATAGCAGATAAAATAATAAAAGATGCGTAAGGTAAAAGCATACCCCCCCCCCCTTTGCTCCAGAGTAAATTGCACATATGGGTTGGGCACAAAGAAATTTTTCATCAATAAATAAGTTTTTTTAACCGTAAATGAACTTATAAATAAAAGAAATGAGATTGAGGTGTGAAAAAGAGAAAATTATGGATGGAATGAAAAACAAGAAAAGGTAACAATTCGATTTTGATTTTTAACTTTAACTTGAAAAATGTGACATTTTTTTCTTGATAAAATACAATATTACTATATAAGAAAAAAGTACATTATGAAACAGGTGGAGTAAATCTATATAAAATTGTCACTTAATAAAGCACAAAATCTTGTCTGTGGCAGAAAATTTGCCACCACAGAAGCACCTCAAAAGGTTGATGTGATGCACTAGCCTCAAAATACACTATAGCCTACCAAATTAGTAATGGTTAGCACAATACCCTAGCACACAAAAAAAAAAAATCAAGTGGCGATGTCACTATATTATGTTATTGCACCTTTTCAACTACTGTGAAGAGCCGTCCCTTTGCATGATTACTATTAAACCATTACAAAAACTGATGAGAAAATTCCTAAACCTGAGGAAAAGCCTACCCCTGTCCCCACTGCAAAAATCTCTATTTTAATTATTCACAAGGGAAACAGAAAGATCACAGGAAATCAGGATCTTTAAGAAGTCCAAATTTGCTCCATTGGACTAATATAAATCAAATGTAAATAATATAAATCAGCAGTGGTTGGGACCCCCCCCCCCCCTAACTTTTGTGATTTTGACTAGAATTTTGGTCAATTATAACATTATTAATAGTACAGGTATCATTCATTATATGCACCAAGAACGAAAGCACCACAAACACTGGAAAGGAAAGAACAGGAATTTCAATGTTAAACAGTGGGTACTCATAACCAAAGCACATACATGAAATGATCAAGCATTACCATGGACATTCCCGTGTAAGTTTTGTTGTAACACTACATATATAATTTTACAGCTTACTAAACAGATGAAAATTAATACTCATTGTCCCTTAATAGAAGACAATCTTTTGGGAGCACAATTTCTGAAGAGCAAATGTGAGGTATTATTGACAAAAGTTACGAAGAATGTGTGGAAACAAATTTGCTTTAGGGGATGTAGAAAATATATGGTGAGGTTCGAGGGGTTTGTTGATTAATTCTATATATACAACAACAAATCTTTAGTCTCAAAATGGCTATTAGTGTATAAATATTAAAAATTTCAAAAAAAATATAAATAAAAAATGGTGCAAGGCTAGATGATGGCTATGCTCAAATGAAAAATAAGGCTAAGGACAAATATTTTGTAAGAAACAAGGTTTTTTTATTTAGAGACACAGTGAATATGAGACAACATGGTACAAGAATAACTACAATTTTTACATATGGAAACCACAAATGTGCTAACAAAGATTTCACATCACAATACAGGGATATCAAAATCCTAAACAACTGATAGTGATTGAGAAAGAATGTCCAATAGAATGGATGGTTAACAAGGAGCAAGCCGAAATTTGACTAATACCTGTGGTCAGGAGTATGCTTCCAAAAGTTCCATAGAATATGTTAGACTTTTACCATCTTTGGTGAACATCCTTGTATGAGCTATGAAGTATCCAATATTTTTACGGAATCCTGAAGTTTTTTTTTCCAAAATGAAAGTGTACTTTGTTAGAACAAGAAACGGGTAGTCTACAAATTCAAAACAATTAATAGAAAATAAAGTAGTGATCTATTTGAATCTCACCTAAAAAGAATAATGCCTCGCACATACATATCAAAATACTCGTCTTATTAGTCCTCGCAATAAGGTTTCAACTACAGTTTAAGTGCGCGGAATAACACCAACTAAAACAGGCGTATAGGGCTACAGATTGCACCAATAATTATTTCGGTGTGCACAACCGCAAATAGCTATGAATTCAAATAAATCCCCACCTAAACAACGACCTTTCATAATATTTCAGCATTTCCTTTTCCAAGCCTTGATCCTGTATTGCCATAAAAATCTTTGGACTCCAAAAATTATGGTGATATGTTAATGATGCACCCATTGTGGTGTTGCCATATAAACAAATTAATTAGTGTAATTTCATGCACCTAAATTATAGTTGATGTCTTATATACAATTACCTAAGTTTCTTAGTTCTCTATAAACTTTAAAGATCTACTTTTAATACACATATTTTTCTATTACAAGTAAGTCAAGTGAAACATATTGTCGGTCCAACTTGAACTTTGCTCACATATCCAATGATAACCTAACAACCATATGGCTGTAAATTCAATCCTACTGTCCCGTTGAGATTCTACTATGGATGAATTAGAAATAGAGAATATCATGATGTATTTTATAACAGGAAATTTTTTCCCATGTGTGACATCCTTAACCCCTTATTTCTAATTTTCATCCAAAATGAATACCAAAACTACAAGAATCATCCTATCACCTTCTCCACTTCCCATTTGTTATTCAATATGAATGAATATGTAATTTTATTAACTTTAATAAAGCAAATAATCACTTCAATAATAATAATGCACTTTGTGTTTTTCAAAACTAAAAAACATTAGCTTGTATTCTCTTCAATTGAGAGTAAAGGTTTACACACACACACACACACACACACACACACAAAACACACACACACACACACACACACAAAACACACACACACACACACACACACACACACATACACACATCTCATGAAAAAGGTGAATTGAAATAAACAAGAGATTAAAAAAATATATATATTAAATATAAATATAAAAACAATAAAATAATAATAATAACATTTTTCCATGATTTTTCATATAATTTGTATTCAATTGTCATACATAACATCTTAACATTAATTTCATCATCAACCTCAATACATGTTCTTGTTTTTTTCCCACCCTAACTTCTAATATCCACACATAGATTTTAATTAATGTGTCATACACGACATACACGTTCATATTGTTAGTTAACTCAAATATGTGTATCAGTCTCATAGAAGCCAAATACCTATTAAACATTCATTGAGATTCTAAAATCAACTAAAGTTATCTACAATAAATAGTAAAGAAAGCACAGCAGAATGTACAAAGAAAAATAGACCAACAACAAGAATACAAGATGAAAAATTTGGAGACAAAAAGTACTCTCAATAACATGCCAGATGAAGCATCACACTATAAGTACCAAACTTGCTGAGTGAGCATGCCAACAGAAATTTGAACAAACAAATCAACTGTGAAGCATAGATACTGCTTTGTGATTTTTTTCTGACGCATATATTCCCTTTTATATATGTGATAAATAAATATTTATAATTACGACTAAGCAAAGGAAAAAGAAAAATGTGCACAATTAATCGTCCATCTAACAGCTAAATAATCAGAAACATCAGTCAATTACTTTATCAACATTTCAAAAAACAAAATAATGGCAGATGTGTAATGTATCTCACCTTAAGTATGGACCAAGAATTCCAAGGGATGCTGCCATCCATCCATATAAAGGGTGATTATACTGCTCCTAGTTGGTAGTACAAGGAAATTCCGCATTGTTGGTATAATATTGTGATGGATCTCTCTGCTTCCGTAACTAACAAGTCATAACCATCAAATAAAAATCTTCCACTCCTCTGCCAAGATACTTGTAAATCTCTTATTATACAAAAATATTTGACTTTCCTACAAAAGTGAAAAGAAAACAGCAACATTTCATTCTACTAGTGAAAGATCAGATAAATGAATGGATCAGAATTTAAACTAGTACTAAAATGTTTGAAACATAAGAATCACCGAAAAGGCTGAGAACAGTGGCCTGGTCTCTGTTTATCTGTTAAGAATAGTGTATAAAGAAAACATAAAATTCGCAAGAAACAGTAAAACAACCACCTTGAGCAGCACTAGCATCTTTTATGGAAGCCAAAATGCACAGGACCTAGCAACTGGCAGACTAACATGCAAGATGGCAAGGTACAGTGACACAGAAAACACAACCCAAGGAGAGTGACCAACAATAATAGGAGAAAGGTCAAAGGTGGCGGGGGTCAAATTTGGAAAATTTTTGCTAGAGACATATTAGCATTCATTGTAGTAAGATCAATCTACCAATACAGAAAGGGATAAGATCCTAAAATCCCTGATATGCTTCAAAGCCTTCAAGCTTTGTAAATGAAGCATAATGGAAAATCAAACTCATCAAGACCTCCTTTGGAAGCCTGCTGAGAAATATTCATTACTCTCCCGATCATCATGTAAAGTCTTCAATTACTCCCAGACATATCAAGAGGAATAGAGAAACAGAACAAAGTCAACAGGCTTTACTAACAAGCGCCAACTTAAGTCATAATACACCAAACTTCTATTCTCCATATTGTTTGAAAATGTATTCAGCTCCAGTTTCAGAAAATGAAGATACAACTACAGGCAGACCATATAACATAACGTAATTTTACAATTCGATTTCTAGCAATTAACTATATAAAGAATACTCAGTTTATATAAATTGCTGGCATATCGATGTTTAAATCCTATCATATCATTATATAACGTAGCCTGAACATGGTTAGGGTTAAAACCTATTGCTATGCAAGGCCAAAATGAAGATGTTACCTACTTTTATACCCCCCTAAGGACTATGATCTGAAATGAGTGAAGCAATGATTGCTTTTGGAGTATTATTTACAAAATTACCACATTGCATTCCCATACCATTTGGCATACAAAAAATGTACTGTGAATTGGATTACACTATCCCAAGCCATTTTATATGATTTCCAGTAAATCAACCTGTCTGCTCGTACTTATGCCTACAATATTTTACTTAAGACAATTTAGACGGTACATATTACATAACTTGATGCAAAAAATTACAGCAAATCAGATTTTAGACCAAAAATGGTTTTGCTTAAAAAACTATCTTTGTGTATGTGCTAGTGTACACTTTCACATTAAAAAAAGAAAGGGAAAAAAAAACGAAAATGCATGTAGTCATGTATATGTATATATCTTAAATTTTGATTAAAAATTGGGACCTCTTAGTGGGGACCCTGTCACAAAAGTAAATTCAAGTTCCCCCTAACATGTTTGAGTAGGAAAAGGCTAGCTAGTGGTCATGATATTTTTTGCCCATCATATTATCTATATATATCCAAGCCAAGACCTAATGTAAATCATCGCACAATACTTCTCCCTAACCTTAAGTTTTCTCCAAGTACTGAAATTTCCATGGCAATTTCAAGAGCTACAACAACCATAAAAAGCCCCATTCAATCACAATTATATTAAATAATTCCTCTTCTCTAAGCATGGCTAAAACTTCATGCATGATCACTCGTGCATTTCTGCTGATTATCTTTACCAGTCAATTTCTATATGGTGAAGGGAGACCTATAAGGTCACTAAGTGGAAAAGGGACTAAATATGTCCCAAGTCACTCCCATAAAGGCATCAGAAAGCTGAGCAGCCGAATTTATAATTCTGACCACAGTGAATCATCACCAAAGAAGAATACTGCACAGGAAATAATAGCTGAATTTCAAGCAACTGAAATACATAAAAAGAATTTCCCCTCCTTGAAACCTAATCAAAACTTCCCAAAAAGTCTAAAATTAGATTCATTTGGGGTAAACAGAGTAGACAGCAGTGTGCAAAGCAACTGTCCTGGTGTAAAATGCTCAGATGATTTTAGACCTACAGCGCCAGGACACAGCCCTGGTGCAGGTCACTCTTACATGACTAACACAGACAAAACCTTACCAAACCAAAATACTATAAATCCTAAAATTTGGAATAACTTGGAAGAACCAAAAGATGGTTTTAGATGTACTATACCAGGTCACAAACCAGGTGATGGACATGCTGAAGAAGACAAGGAGGATCCAAACCTTACAGCTGCAGGAGTACCCTCAACATCAAGCCCTACCTCATTTTTCAGTGATTCAGCACAGTTAAATACCAATTATTGCCCACCTACAACTCCCGGAGGCAGTCCTGGTGCTGGCCATCTTGAAAAAAACAAAAAGGGTGTACAGAAAACAGGATTTTGTCTTAGTGATAAGTGCACAGATGATTTCCGACCAACAAAACCAGGGGACAGCCCAGGGGCTGGTCATCTCCATATAAGTGACTCAGACAGCATTGCATCAAAACAAGGCAAACACCCTAGTGTAGTACATCCCAATGCAGAAGGAACAGATGATTACCGGCCTACTAAACCTGGCCACAGTCCAGGGCCTGACCATGCTGCTTTAGAAAAGCAAGAGACAAACTCATAAAATACAAAATTCATAATGATTTCTACTTACAGTTACTATAATGATTTCTACTTACAGTTACTATAATGATTTCTACTTACAGTTACTATACAGCTCTGAAGTAGAAAAGTCCTAAAAGATACAGATGTAATATATGTAAGTTGTTCTATGTAATCAAATATTTTTATAAAAAAATTATTGTAAACTTCTAATCATCATTTAACTTGTCCTAATCAACAAGTCAGTCAATATCTAGTTTACTTCTATAAAATTAAGCAAGCAAAAATTCAGTAGGACAGATTTTAAAGAATCTCCCCCACTTCCCGACACTTAAAATGATAGTTCATCAATTTTTGGAAGCTGAAGAAGAAACAGAGTCAGATTTCAAAAGTACATACAATCCCATGCCCTAGATCATCACTAATCATCTAACCACCAAGTATCAGTCCCAGTCATCACTCATCATTTAACTACCCAGTATTAGTCCCAACAAGGCAAAATATGGGGAAATCCAGAGAAACGCTTTAATCATAACTAGTCAAAAAACAATTAGAGACTGTAAACCAATACTCTATTTTTTTTTTTTAATAATTAAATCTTTACTTGAAAAGCCCAAGTGGTAAAACTTTCTAACTTTTCAAAATTATACCTCTAACAGAAAAACTTCGATTTTACCTTTCTTGTCCTAACCAACAGTATAAGGGTAGTAAAAAAAGCACCTGAAAAACTCCTCCCCAAAAACTTAGTTGTCCATTTTTCAATTGTATGGTACAGGACACTTCGCCACACATCAAAAAGCACCCCCCCCCCTTCCCCAAACCCCCTGAAGTTTACTTGAAAATCATAAATATGACTAAATCCTCCAAATGAACCCAATTCCCTTTCTTCTAGTCATATACATACTCCATGGATCAAAAGATCAAAGATTTCTTGCATTTTGTCCTGAAAGTGACAACATTCTCTTTGAGCAAGGTCGTAAATAGATAATCGAAATCTGTAGCTTCCAATTCAAAGCTTCACCAAAAGTAATTGTCAAACAGGACTAAAAAAGTCAATTGGGAGATAAGATTGTCCAAATGAGACTAGCTTGTGAAGAATAAATGCATACAACATTCACAATACTCCCTCCATCCAAGATCATATGGTCACATTATCATCACTTATCATAATCCAAGATATAAAATGTCATTACCAAGAGACCCTTTAATGAAACATTTGTTTGTTACTCAATCCAAGGAAAAAGTACTTGAAAAATCAAAATGTAAACCAAAAATTTTTTACAAATTATTTTCCTGGATTCCAAAACTGGAAAATTGTACACATAACTATCATTCCTAAACATGTAGTATAATATCACTATCAGTGAAACAAAGGATTGCGTTACAAACACACCCTAAAAATTTTAGATAAAAGCCCTACTGAAAAAATAGGTATTCATGCATAATGTTATAAATTAAAATCAGTTACAACCTCGAATAATAAAATAATTTAATTAAAAGATAATTGTGCAAAATTAATCGTCCATCTAACAACTAAATAAATCAGACACCTCAGTCAATAACTTTAATCAACATTTCAAAAAACAAAACAATGGCAGACGTGTGATGTATCTCACCTTAAGTATGGACCAAGAATTCCAAGGGATGCTGCCATCCATCCATATAAAGGGTGATTATACTGCTCCAAGTGGGTAGTACAAGGAATCCCCGCAATATTGGTATAATTTATGGATCTCTCTGCTTCCGTAACTCACAAGTCATAACCATCAAATAACAATCTTCCACTCCTCTGCCAAGATACATATTAATCTCTTTAATTCAAAATATTTGACTTTCCTATAAAAGTGAACAGAAAAAAAAAAAAAAAAAAAAAAAAAAAAAAAAAAAAAAAACATTTCATTCTTCTAGTGAAGGATCAGATACATGACAGGATCAGAATTTAAAACTAGTACTAAAGTGTTTGTTAGTTTGTTACATAAGTATCACGAAAAGGCTGAGAACAGTGGTCAGATCTCTATTAAGAACACTGTAAGACGAAACCAAAAAATAGCAAGAAACGGCAAAAAACAGCCACCTGAAGCAGCACCAGCATTTTTTTTATGGAAGCCACAATACACAGGACCTAGCACCTAGCAGACTAACATGCAAGATGAGCAAGATACAGTGACACAGAAAACACAAACCAGAGAGTGTGACCGACAATAATAGGAGAACGGTGACGGTGGTCAAATTTAGAAAAGTTTGCCAGAGATATATAAGCATTCTTTGTGGTAAGATCAATCTAACAATACAGAAAGGGATAAGATTTTAAAGTACATGATGTGCTTTGTAAATGAAGAACAATGGAAAATCAAGCTCATCAAGACCTCCTTTGAAAGCTTGGTGAGAAATTTTAATTGCTCACCCAATCATCATGTAAAGTCTCCAATTACTCCCAGACATATCAAGAAGGATAGGGAAAACAGAATTCTATAAAGGCAACAAGCTTTACTAACAAGCGCCAACTTAAGTACCAAACTTGTATTCACCATATTCAGTGGAAATGCAACAGTATTCTCCTCCAGTTTCAGAAAATGAAGATACAACTACAGGCAGACCATATAACATAACATAATTTTACAATTTGAATTCTAGCAATCAACTACATCAAGAATACTCTGTTTATATAAAATTTCTGGTATATCGATATTTGAATCCTATCATATTATTATATTAAATAGCCAAAACATGGTTCGGGTTAAAACGTATTGCTATGACTGTATCCTGCAAGGCCAAAATGAAGATGATACCTAATTTTATAATCCCCACAAGGACTATGATCTGAAACGAGTGAAACTATCATACGCTTTTGGAGTATTATTAACAAACTTACCATATTGCATTCTGCATAAAAAAGTGTACTATAAAATGAATTACACAGCTCCAAGCCATTGTATATGATTTCTAGTCAATCAAACTGTCTGCCCGTATTTATGCCTATAATGTTTTACTTTCAGAGCCTTTTTACGGTAAATATTGCATAACTTGACGCAAAAACTACAACAAATCAGATTTTAGACCAAAAATGGTTAAGCTTAAAAAACAATCTGTGTATGTACAAGTGTATATGTGTATATCTTAAATTATGATTAAATCTAGGACCTCTTAGTGGGGACCTTTCCACAAAAGCAAATTCAAGTTCACCCTTAACATGTTTTAAGTAGGAAAATGCTAGCTAGTGGTCACAATATTTTTTTGCCCATCATATTATCTATATATATCCAAGCTAAGACCTCTTGTAAATCATTGCACAATACTTCCTCTCCCTAACCTTAAGTTTTCTCCAAGTACTGAAATTTCCATATCAATTTCAAGAGCTGCAACAAAGCCCTCTTCAATCACAATTATAATAAATAAGTCCTCTTCTCTAAGCATGGCTAAAATTTCATGCATGATCACTCATGCATTTCTGCTAATTATCTTCACCAGTCAATTTCTATATGGTGAAGGGAGACCTATAAGGTCACTAAGTAGAAAAAAGACCAAATATGTCCCAAGCCACTCTGATAGAGACATCAGAAAGCTGAGCAGCCAAATTTATAATTCTGACCACAGTGAAACATCACCAAAGAAAAATACTCCACAAAAAAAATTAGCTGAAATTCCTCCAGCTGATATACATAAAAAGAATTTCCCCTCCTTGAAACCTACTCAAAACTCCCCAAGCAGTCACGAGTTTGATTCATTTGGGGTAAACAGAGTAGACAGCGGTGCGCAAAGCAACTGTCTTGGTGTAAAATGCTCAGATAATTTTATACCTACAGCACCTGGACACAGCTCTGATGCGGGTCACTCTTACATGACTAACACAGACCAAACCCCATCAAAACAAAATACTAATAATCCTAAAGTTTGGAATAGCTTGGAAGGATCAGAAGATGGTTTTAGACGTACTACACCAGGTCACAGCCCAGGTGCTGGGCATGCTGAAGAAGACAAGGAGGATCCAAACCTTGCAGCTGCAGGAGTACCCTCAACATCAAGTCCTACCTCATTTTTCAGTGATTCAGCACAGTTATCTATCAATGATTTCCCACCTACAACTCCTGGAGGCAATCCTGGTGCTGGCCATCTTGACAAAAACAAAATGGATGTACAGAAAACAGGATTTTGTCTTAGTGAAAAATGCAAAGATGATTTCCGACCAACAAAACCAGGGGACAGCCCTGGGGCTGGTCATCTCCATATAAGTGACTCAGACAGCATTGCATCAAAACAAAGCAAGCACCCTGGTGTTGTACATCCCCATGCAGAAGGAACAGATGATTACCGGCCTACTAAGCCTGGCCACAGTCCAGGTGCTGGCCATGCTGCTTTAGAAAAGCATGAGACGAACTCATAAAATACAAAATTCATAATGAATTCTACTTACAGTTACTATATAGCTCTGAAGTAGAAAGGTCCTAAGAGATACAGATGTAATATATGTAAGTTGTTCTATGTAATCAAATATTTTAGAAAAAATATTATTGTAAACTTCTAATCATCATTTTCCCGTCCTTTTTTCTAATCAACAAGTCAGTCAATATTCAGTTCACTTCCATAAAAGTAAGCAAACAAAAATTCTGCAGGTCAAATTTTAAACAATCTCCCCCACCCCCCACCCCCAACACTTAAAATAATAGTTCATCAATTTTTGGAAGCTAGAAGAAGAAACAGAATCAGATTTCAAAATTACATACAATCCCATGCCCTAGGCCAGCACTCATCATCTAACCATCGAGTATAAGTCCCAGCCATCACTCATCATCTAACCACCCAGTATTAATACCGCGGAGGTCCAGACTCCAGAGGAATGATTTAATCATAACTAGTCAAAAAACAATTAGAGAGTGTAAACCTGTACACACATTTTTTTATATCTATATAATTAAAACTTTACTTGGAAAACCCAGGTGATAAAACCTTCTAGCTTTTCAACATTATACCTCAGCAGAAAATGTAGCAAGTGAAAGGGTGGTACAACAAGCACCTGAAAATCTCCTCCCCCCTTCCCAAAAAAAAAAAATAAAAAAATAAAAAAAATTAGTTGTCCATCAATTGTATGGTCTAGTACACTTCGCAATACATCCAAAAGCAACCCCCCCCCCCAAAAGGCCCCAACCCCCTGCAGTAATGTAACTTGAAAATTATAAATTCCATGACTAAATCCTCCAAATGAACCTCAATTCCCTTTCTGCTAGTCGTATACACACTCCGTGGATCATTAGTTCAAAGATTTCTTGCATTTTGTCCTGTAGGTAAAGCAACATTCTCTTCAAGCAAGGTAATAAATAGTTAATCAAACTCTCTAGCTGCGAATTCAAAGCTTCACCAAAAGCAATTGTCGAACAGGTCAAAAAAAGTCAAGTGGGAGATGAGGTTGGCCAAATGAGACTAGCTTGCAAAGAATAACATAATGCATGCAACATTCACAATACTCCCTCCTTCCAAGATCAAATGGTAACATTATCCTAACTTTTCATAATTCAAGATATAACATGTCTTCACCAATACACCCTTTAATAAAACATTTATTATTATTATTTAGACACTCTCTTTGTTACTCAAATCAAGGATGAAGTTCTTGGAAAATCTTTGCAAACCAAAACTTTTTACAAATTATTTTCCTGGATATCTGAAAATGGAAAATTGTACACATAACTATCATTCCTAGACATAAGGAGTATAATATCATTATCAATGAAACAAAGGAGTGAGTTAAAAACACACCCTAATAATTTAGATAAAAACCTTATTGGAAAAATAGGTATTCATGTATAATGTTATAAATTAAAATCAGTTACAACCACGAATAATATAATAAATCAGGATTATCAAGTATAAGTTCCATTTCTAAAATTAAAAGAAAACAACTTAGTACTAGAAAATACAGATTGGTTTGAATGTGAAATCTTACATAATTAATCAAATTAATTAAACAAGCAATATAGTGTCTATATGGCTACACAAACACTCCCCTACACAAAAGGATGCCATGACCAAATGTAAGCCACTCATATCATATGATTGGAAAGATTTTGTATTATTAAACCTCCAATTGACAAAAAGGCATTGACCAGCCTACTGCTTTACAGTAAAATAAAAACAAAAAAAAAAAAAAACCCAACTATATTAATTTATCATTTAACTATAATTAATCCTTTTTAATATAAAAGTGAAAATTGTCCATCAGCAACTTTTTTCAACTCAATTAAAAATGAAGAACCAAACACTGAAATTGGAAAGAGACGCCTAATTACATCTGAAAGTTGACATCAACCATCAAAAACTCAATATATTCAAATCTATGATATAAGTTGCTTAAAGTTGTGGTACCAAAAATATTTCCAAATGGGGTAAAAAGTACATCTTTTACCATAAAAAGTTCAGAACATCGTAACACCATTATTACTTTATAGTATAAAATTGTTAACCAGAAGAATGTTTGCTTTAAACTACATCTAGCAAATCGGCTATACAGATTAAGTTCAAATCGGGTTAATTCGGTCTGAATTATATTCAGGTGATGGTCATATTCGAGTATGTACACATTCACGCGGTCACACCTTAACAAGTAAAATTGGATTAATGTCTGCTACGGCCAAAATCAGATCATCTTATTTCGGGTATAATTTATAACTTGAATTAAGTAATCGGATACGAGTCAACATGAAATTAAAAGGAATTAACCGACAAGAATAGTCAATCAAACACTTTTTAACAACCCAGTTACAAAAATGAGGGAAGGAGAAAAAAGAGGTATAAACATTAACAAAAAGAATCTCCACTAAAGCATCTAAATTAGTATTCCGTATCAAATGAGAGCACATGGTGAAGACAGCTAACTGAAAACCTTTAATTTCCCAAATTCCAATCAATTGTAAACATAAAATAATTACCACAAGTAGAAACCCTAAGAGAATCAATGTTATTGCAAACAAATCAAGAAAGATTTATAGAAAATTACCTGGTGATTCTTCGATGTAATCTTCGTCACTTCCTGACCAATGAACATTGCATATGAATTGGGAATTTTGCTTTAATCTGTTTGTTCTTTACCCTTGTTTCTGCGGTTTAGAGGATACTCGTACTCTCGTAGTCCCGTCCTTTTGCAATTGCAACCAAAATTGAACTGGCTTATAGAACTGATATGAAGGGAATGAGAGAAAGCTCAAACCTAAACTAGTTAGGGCTTCGCCCGATTTTAAAAGATTTCGGGTCAATTCTCACCCCACCCTTATACAGAGCGTGAGGGTATAATTATTGTATGCCTGTATGTATGTAGAGTCGTAGAGGAATTTTAAAAGAAGAAATGTTATATAGTTGTAAATACATAATAATGTATAGTCGTAGAGGAATTTTAAAAGAAAGAATGTTATGTAGTTGAAAATACATAATAATAATAATGATTAAAATATTCTAAAAACACATGGTAAAGAAAGAAAATAAGAGAGAGGTTACGTGATGAAGGATCACATGCTGATTGTTCTATTGTAAGTTTATATAGTGTCATTAAATCTTGAGTTGTACTATTTATGCATAAATTTAGTGTAACTGAATGCATATATAATATTATTGTATGCATATATAGTATCACCGTGTGTTCAGTTGTATTATTTTATCAGCCAATAATACCACTCTTATATATATATATTAACAAAATTAATACTCTAGCTAAAACCAAAATGGGGTAGAAACAACAACAACAACAAAAAGGGTATTTTCAAAGATAATGAATATCAATGCTTTTATATTCATTCATTGGACACCAAGCAAAGAAGCTCGGTAGAGTTGGTTGGGAACTCACGTTGTAACTTAAAGGTCACAAATTCAAACTCCATTAACTACAAAATGCTTGGAAGTAGAGGGATTTCTTTACCTCCCCACGTCAAATTATCATGTTTAAATAACTTTCCTTTCCTTGTTTTTTTTGTTTAAAAAGTTACTTAATGAGTCAATGGCATCATAATAATGCTCATCATCATGACAGACCTATTAAATGAATTACTAAAACCGCCACTAAATCTAAATAAAAGTAGAACTAAAGTAAAATAATGTACGTAGTCACTAAAGAGCCATAGTCCATAGATCGAGGAAGCAAGTAGTGTGATAGCAGTAGAAGTAGTAAAAAGCTATAAAGTCGACTTCATAAAAGCAAAAGGAAAGAGGTCGTATATGAACAGATTAAAGTGCATAAAAGATATTGTGTTAGTGTTAATCATTAATTGATTATACATATATGGAGTAGTACTGTATAAGTTGACGGTAGGTAGTGAATAATAGTGATGTAGCATGAAATTGCACTTTGCATGTCATTTTCAGCCGCAAAGTTGGGAAGGAATGATCCTCCTCGTTGGAATCTTCACACGACTATCAAATCTTGGCTGTCAAAGTTTTATTAGATTCTACTTGTAACTAAGCCAAAACCGACATGAATGCTTGGAGAAACCAATCAATCTAAATTTTATTATTTAAATGCAAATACAAATGCCCTTTTATTTTCTCATTTCTTCTTAATCATAGTATCAACTTTTTCTCCTTTTATTTTGTTTTTAATTATAAAAATTGATCGCCATAGTAAGGAGAATCTTCTAACTTTTTAAAGATGTGTTCGGCAAAATATAGTTGTGAAGGAAGCTGTTAGTTGTATAAATAGTTGGTAATTGTCAATAGGCTGTTAGCTGTGAAAATAGATAATTTAGGTATAAGTGTTCGTTAAAGTAACGGTTGACTAGTTTTTACATATAAAAATCAATATATTATTTTAAAACTATAGATTAAGTTTTCAACAGGTATCTATAATTTCAAAAGCTAATATTTGTAACTTTTCATAAAAGCTACCTCCATCACTAAAAACCTACCCTAACCACAATTTAGCCAAACACTCACATAAAAGCTACTCAAAAGCTAACACCGAACACACCCTAAAATACATAAGTACGTACAAAGTAATTCGTATTCTTGATATTATATAAGAACATATTTTTAATAAATTACTTCTTATACATCACTAGTTATTGTATTTTAAAATTAGGGTTAGTAGCATATGTACTGTTTAGCATAACTCTTATATTAGGACTATATTAGTACTATAAAAAATTAGGGTTAAAATTACTTCTTATACATCATTATTCACTAGCCGTATTGTACTTCGTATATGTTTAGCATAACTCTTATATTAGGACTATATTAGTAGCACTGGCGACGAATAATAATTTTATTTAAATTATCAACTTAATATAGTATTATTATTTTGGAAATTTCTTTATTATTTGATGCAACTAAGTAACTAACAACACCTTGAATAGTATACTATATCATCTTTTTTGTCCCCTTCGTTCTTCAATTCTGTAATCTGTCATTATGGTCTAGTTAGTGTTCTTAATGTCTTATTATGCCCCTAAACTAAGTTCCTTTATATTACCATGTGCATGCATGGCCTTAGGAATTATATAGTTCCAACAAAGCTCCACTGTAAAAATTCAAGGTTGTCCAAAGACATCTTTCCTCATGCTCCGGAATATTCTAATATTCTAAGCAGGGATAGATTTTATATAATGTACGACAATACAACATTTTCATATAATATCTTTTTTGTTTTACAAATTACATTTATTTAAATAATCAAGTACCAACTTGCTGTTCATCATGGTTTTTTTTTTTAATTCTTTCCTTTTTCTATTACATTTTTTATAATTTTTTTATAAGTTCAGTCACAATTCACAAGTTAAGTACATTTCATTGTTCTACCTTGAACGTATTTTGTAATATGTAGCAATTTTTAGCCTTCAAAAAGACTTAAATATTCATATATAATTAAGAGCTTGTTTGACATCAGTTTTGGTTTTCAGTTTTCAGTTTTTTTTTTTTTTTTTTTTAACCAAAAACAAGAAACAAGAAAAAGGTGTTTCCACTTTTCTGTTGTCAGTTTTCAAAATTATCATAATTTTAATAAATTTATATAATTTTTGATTCATTATGGGACACATATCATAAACTTTTAGATTACAAAAAACCAAAATTCAGAAAACCACAGCAATGCCAAACGAACTCTAACATTTCTAAGACACATCAGTAATATTAGACATTTTTGTGTGTGCGAAGAGATCCACAAAGTACAAATGTCACAAATAAGATTTGAATCTCTGTCTTAACACCACCATCCAATAGGTATTGACATACTGTAACCAACTAACTAAAACTAGTTGATTTATACATACGATACTACGTTACTATGTTAACAATATATACTAACAAGGTATTAATGTACAAGTATGTAGTTTTATATTATGATTAATAATTACAAATCATTATTCCTTATTAAATAAATGCAAATTCAAATGATTCATTGAAAACTAATTAGGCATACCGATAATGTATATGTACTATATATTAAAGGATGATTAAATAAATGAAAGCAAATGGTAGACTGATAGTTTAAAACAAAGGTAGCCATAGTACCATATGATTACTAATCTCTTTATTTATATATTGATTTATTTATTTATTTATATTTTGAAAGAACACATTGTTACAAATATGCTTCGTACTATCTAGCTATATTCAACCATATCAAGGTCGGGTTAAGTGGAATTTGCACTTGATTTATGAGCTTCAAGGTGTTGGATGGCCTTTGAGCATGGCCAAAGATGCAATGATGCACAAAGCACAATGAATTTAATTTATAAATGTACGTTAAAGTATGAAAACTCTCATCTTTTTTGTTGTATACATTTATAGTAATATTGACTGTACTTATTTATTCTCAATTAAGTAAATATAGTATTCCAAAGGCTACATGTATGATTATTGAAAACTTTATAATGTACGATAAACAGACATGTAGTACATTGTACATTAATAATAATTGTTATTTATTGGACATAATTAACATAACAATCTAGAAAAAGGTAGTCAGAGGATTAAAGGTGTTCACTCTTAAAAGTAGGTTAAGCTACAAACCCTCACTAAAAGTCATACTTTCTCTGTTTGTTTTTTTTTTTCCATCATCTGGTCAAACTTGTAAAATGTCATATTTTAGGAAAAATCGACCATAACATTATACTCGTATTAACAAGTTGCACTCGACAGCACAAACTTTGACTAGTAGCTCTAATAGCAAGCTGAAATCTATAACTTAAGGTGCATGAAACATCATTAATGAGTATTGCCACCCGAGATTCTCCCGGAAACAACCCATATGTAATATTTTATTTTATTTTTTATTAATTTTTAAATGCAATTGGGATTATTCAATCTCATAGTTCACATCTTAATTCACTATATATCATCATTTGAATAATCCGAAAAAATTAATAAAAAAAAAATGCATTTGGATTTTAACTTTTTTCTAGCTAGTACAAATTAAAGATAGGGATAGTGAAATACTAAATTCTAGGATTACAATTTAATTTACAGCATAGATATCACATATATTGTAAAAGGGGTTTTCTAACGTGTACGTGCGCTCATGAATATGAAGTTTTTTGTATTTGCATGAAGATGAGACATTGGATCATAAGGGAGGAAGGGGGTGAGTCTTTATCGATTATTACACATAATAATCAAATTTAGTTCATGTAGCTGACTCCACTTGTAGAATTAAGGCTTTTTTTTTTTTAACGTGCGCTGATGGGCACACAGTACATTAAACTAACAAGATCCTTTGATATTCATAAACCGTATGGGTATATGGCAAGCTAAGGTAGTATATGAGATTGCGCATAAAGTATTTCAACCATAGTTGAAAAACTTGCAACATGATGACAACATTGATAATAATGTTAATTAGTGTGGTAAGTGTGTGGTAATACGGAAGAAGTACGTGTTATTCACATGCTAAGCACCACCCTTAATTCTTCAAGCAAGTAGCTTCCCAGACTAGTACTGTAGTAGCCTATAGCTCTCTACAACTTAGCTGTCTTCCTTGGCAACTAACTCCCCCACACACCACTCCAAAATAAAAAAGATTATTGTACATGCAAATTAAACCGCCCATTCTATATTGTTTAACTCTAATAACTGTTACTTAATTAACTTTTTGGGGGTCCTTACATTGGTTGTTAATCAACTTTTATATTCCTTGTCACATGCATGATGCATGCTCCTTCTCTCAGCTATATATATATAAGACCTCCCATGCATTGCATTTGTATCATCATTCATACTATCTACTATCTTAGCTTATTCTAATAACCATTGCATTTTGCTCAAATCTTCTCTATCTCTCTCACAAATAATCAATTTTAC